ATTGTAGTAGTGATATTCTTATTTCTTACCCTCAAACAGTTGGTGGAAACTATATTAAAGTACATGTAGGCAACTAGAGGGATGCCTCCATGGTTGAGAGCACAGGTTGCTCTTGCAGAGAACCTGGGTTTGAGTCCCGGCACATACATGCAGGCTCACAACTACTTGTAACTTCACTTCCAGAGTATGTTGTTTCATTTTCTGACCTCTGTGGGCACCACACGCAGGCATGGTACACATACATACAGTCAGATAAACACTCATTGCACATAAAATAAATAAAATACTACAAATATGCACATATTCATTTATGTCTAGTGTCACCCAAAACCTTCATCCTCAGGAATCCCGGACTTATCCTTCTTAATGCTGAAAATTTAAGAAAATTAAGAACATATCCTGTGCATACCTGAGCTCAACCATAAAAAGCTCATAATGGTACAGTATTAAGTCAGCAGCTAAGTGCCCTCTTGGATCCTGTTTCTTGGTTCATTTTTTTTTTCTTTTGGTTTGATAAACTAGTCCATCAGCTCACATAGTTCCCTTGCCATTCTGATCATCTCTGAGACTCCAGTTATTCTTCTCTGTTCTTAGTTTTTGCAGTTTTGTTGATGATGGTCACTGTCAACATAGCATCCATCTCTCCATACTTGTACTGCTCTGGGATGTAACCCAGTCTGGCTAGCTATGTCCCTCTTCTTTATCTCATTCTCAGGATGAAGTGTCTCATGGAAAAAGTCTGTGTGGAACTTGACATAACTCAGAATACTTTCATGAGGGATCCAACTCATAGACTAAAGTGTCTCATGTAAAGTTATGGTGTGCTCTTAGGGACAGAGGAAATACTGAAGCATGAGAATTAGAAAGCCTAGAAGTGGGGACAATAAGAAACTGAAAGAGGGTGAGAAATATGACTCAGCTGATAAGAATGCTTGCTGCTCTACTAGAGGACCTGAGTTTGATTCTCAGCATCCATGGCTGATGACCACTCCAGCTGCCTGTCATCATTCCAGCTCCAGGGGATTCAGTGCCCTTGCCTGTCCTCTACAGGTACCTAACAAGCACGTTGCATACACTCACAAAGACACATACACATAACTACAAATAAAAATTAATTGAGAGTCTGGTTTGGTAGTAGAGTGTTTATGTAGCACACACAAAGGCCTGTTTATTGATCCCTAGTTGATTCCTAGTACTGCAAAATCAGAGATACATAGATAGATAGATAGATAGATAGATAGATAGATAGATAGATAGATAGACAGATAGATGATCACGGTAGATAGGTAGATAGATAGACTATATTAGAATAAAGAAAAGAGGATCCAGGGGTATGACAGAGATAGGGAGAGAAGTGGGACATGGGGATGAGGTTGGTTAGGGAGGCAAAAGAAAGCAGAAAGAGGAAGGGAGAGGAAACAAGAGAGACAGGAGAGAGAGAAAGAGAGAGAGAGAGAGAGTCTTGAAGACAAGAATATTTGACACAAAAAGAAATTCTACTCCCATACTAAAAGTGCATTTTGAAAACTGGATCTCAGAATCAAGATCTAATTTTAGTTTGTGCCATGATATTAGTGATTTATTTCAAGAATGCCCCTGCCAAACCCTTCTCCATTGCTGGTGGGAATGAAAACTTGTACAACCACTTTGGAAATCAATCTGGCACTTTCTCAGAAAATTAGGAATAGTGCTACCTCAAGATCAAGCTATACCACTCCTAGGCATATATCCAAAATATGCTTAATTACACAACAAGGACATTTGCTCAACCATATTCGTAAAAGCTCTATTCGTAAGAGCCAGAAGCTGGAAACAACCTAGATGTCCCTTATTGGAGGAACTGATACAGAAATTGTGGTATATTTGCATAATGGAACACTACTCAGCTTTTAAAAACAAGGAAATCATGACATTTGCAGGCAAATGGTGGGAACTAGAAAAGATCATCTTGAGTGAGGTAACCCACAAGCAGAAAGACACACATGGAATATACTCACTCATAAGTGGATATTAGACATATAATATAAGATAAACATACTAAAATCTATAGTCCTAAAGAAGCTAAACAACAAGGACGACCCTAGGAAAGATGCTCAATCCTCATTCAGAAGGACAAAATGCATCAGACATTGGAAGCAGAAGAAGACAGGGAACAGGACAAGAGCCTACCACAGAGGACCTCTGAAAGACTCTGCTCATCCAGGTATTGAAGCAGAGGCTGAGACACATAGCCAAACTTATGGCAGAGGGCATGGAATTTTATGAAAGAAGTGGGGGATAGAAAGACCTGGAGGGGACAGGAGCTCCAAAAGGAGACCAACAGAGCCAAAAAACTGAGCTCTGGGAGCCCTGCAGAGACTGATACCCCAACCAGGACAGTGCATGGATATAACCTAGAACCCCTGCTCAGATGTAACCCATAGGCTCAGTCTCTAAGTAGGGTCCCTAGTAAGGGGAGCAGGGACTTTCTCTGGCATGAACTCAGTGACAGGCTCTCTGATCACCTCCTCCTGGGGAGTACAGTCTTGCCAGGCCACAGAGGAAGACAATGCAACCAGTCCTGATGAAACCTGATAGCTAGGTTCAGATAGAAGGGGAGGAGGACTTCCCCTGTCAGTGGACTAGGGGAGGGGCATAGGGGAAGAAGAGAAAGGGAGGGATTGGGAGAGATGGAGGGGGACATAGCTGAGATACAAATTAAATTATAATAAATGATAATAAAAAAGAAATTAAAAAAAGTGAAGGAAGATATGCAGACAGTGATGACAAAGAGACATTACATTGTTATGGAAATAGTTTACATAAAGAAAGCTGTGTTTCTGAGACATATGCAATTAATATCCCCTGTAAATAGTACCTTAAAGTTTAACTACCTAATTAGTTGCTTCACTTTACATTACATTATGATCATAGGCCCTCCCTCATCTCCTCCTGTTCCCATCCCCCCTCACATCCCTGTTTCCCCCCTCCCCTACTCCTCAAATAAGCGGAGCCTCCCTGCTACCAACTTAGACCAGAACATTAAGTAGCATCAGAACCAAGAGCTTCTTCTTCCCCTGTGGTCTGGCAAGGAAGCCCTGCCAGAAGGAAGTGATTAAAAAGCAGGCAACAGAGTTCATGTCGGAGATATCCCTCTCTCCCCTTGTTGGCCAAGCTACCCAATGTCTACATATGTGTAAGGGGCCATGGTCTCGACCTTGGTTGGTGCTCCATAAGCCCTGCTGGGCCTAGATTAGTTGGCTCTGTTGTTTTTCTTGTGGAGCTCTTGTCCCCTCTGGGTCCTTCTATTCTTCCCCCATTCTTCCACAAGAATTTTTTGAGACAAGGTATCTCTGTGTAGCCTTGGCTGTCCTGGAACCCACTCTGTAGACCAGGCTGGCCTTGAACTCAGAGATCTGCCTACCTCTGCCTCCCCAGTACTGGGGTTAAAGGTGTGAGCCACCACTGACTGGCAAGATCGTCTTCTTACTAGGAAGCTTCTCCTGTATTAGGTTTCCATACTATTCCTCAAATGGCCCTTAATTTTAGCTGTTTCTCCCTGTATCCCATCCCTTGGCTCCCTCTTCCCTCCTCCTCCCCACATTATATTCCTGTTCCAGCACCACCCAATCCATTGATAACTGTATATTCTAACCCCTTTTCCTAATGAGCTCTATCTGTACCTCCTAGACCCTTTCTCTACACCTAACCTCTGTGGTTCTATGGATTGTAGTGTGTTTATCATTGACTTAACTGCTAAAATTCACATATGAGGGAATATTGTGAAGTCATTTTTTTAAAGGCCGAACGATACTCTATTGTATAAATGTATCTCATTTTATTTATCCATTTTGTGTCTGTGTGTGTGTTGAGGAGCATCTAGTTTATTTATTTATTTATTTTTTTCAATTTCTGGCTGTTACGAAGAAAGCAGTAATGAACATGGTTGAGCAAGTGTTGCTGTGGTAAGATGAAATATGCTTTGGGTATATGCCCAAGAATGATATGACTGGATCTCGAGCTAGATCAATTTCCATCTTCCTGAGAAACTGCCACATTGCACTGATTTCCATAGTGGCTATACAAGTTTACGTTCCCACCGACAACAGGTGAGTGTTCCCTTTATTCCATTCCACACGAACTGTCACTTGCTTTATATCTCAGCCATTCTCAGGGGTGTAAGACGAAAACCTCAAAGTAGTTTTCACTTGCTTTTCCCTGATGGCAGAGGGTGTTTCCTAGCCATTTGAGTATCCTCCTTTGAGGATTCTGTTTAGATCTGTACTCCATTTTTTCCTTTTTAAACTTTTTATTGCTTCTTCGTGAATTTCATATTATGCATCCCAAGCCCACTCATCTTCCCATCTCCTTGTACCTGCCCTCCATCTTTGCAACCTCCCCCTCCAAAAGACAAATAAAAACTTCATCGTGATAGCTATAGTGTGTCAGAATGTATCCCACAATACACCCTTTTGTCCACACTTCTTTGCTTGCAAATGTTCATTGTAGTGAGTCATTGGTTTGGTTTGAGGCTTCTGGCTTCCGGTACAGTATCAATACTGGGACCTCACTGGGGAATCCACTCCACTATCCTTGTTGTACTGTGTCATGGAGGTCCTGTAGTTTTGTATCTGTAGGACAAGCGCCTTCACTCCAGCAGCTCAGAGATGGGATGGATGTCGTGGTGGGCCAACGCAAAGCCCTGGATCTTAACCTGGGAGGTATCTGAGCCGGTCAGTCTGCCAGCTCTCCTGCATGCATGCCACAGGGGCTAGCTCTCCAGCATTGCCCTGCTAGCTCATCCATTGCTGCAGCCAGAAAGGGGAAGAAACAGCTCTCTTGCTCTCACGCACTTGGGCCTGGCTCACAGGCGCCCACACCATCAGCTCTACTGTGCTGCCCAGGTGAGGTGCAGGCCCAGCCTTCACAAGTGATGTAGCAGGCAAGACGCTAGGCCAGCTCTCCCACTCTCCCACTCTTAAGGCTGGCTCTCCCATGCTCACGCCCTCAGGCCAGCTCACCTTCGCTCCCGCCATCAGGGTCAGCTCTACCATGCTGCCGGATGAGGTACAGGGCCTGCTCTCCTGAGTGCTGCAGCCGGGGATGGGCAGGGACAGCTCTCCTGCTTTCATGAGCCTGGGGCCAGATCTTCTTTTGCCACAGGTGGCAAGGAATAAGGGGAAGGAGGGCGTGTCTCCCTTATGCATGCTACCACATGGCAGATGAGTGGCAGGACCAGCCCATGCTCACACCTTTGGGGATGGCTTACCCTCAACTCTCACAACCAGGGCCAGCTTTGCTTTGCTTCTTGAGTGATATGCTGGGCTCCACTCCTGAGTACGGCAGCTGGTAAGGGGCGGGGCCAGCTCTCCCACAATGCCCAGGAGAGGGGTGGAGCCAGTTCTCCATAGCCCTCAGACATCAACATGGCACTGAACCACAACCCAGACCAGGGGTGTCCGCTTGGCATTAGGTGGTAACAGACCCCTGCTGCTGCAAAACCAGGAACCCGGACATGGCAGTTGGTGGCAGGACAGGTCAACACCTCACTCTGTGGCCTTGGGTGTCATCACCAGCTACTCCTATCAAGCTGTTCCTCACTACCCTGGAGTCTCTAGTTCTGCCTCTCTTCACTGTGCACACGTCCTTCTGCTTCTTTTTTTTTTTTTTCTCTTCCATTTCTCCACCACTTGCTCCTCTTAGTGGTGCCTGTGGTCAGGGGTGTCTAGAGTCATCTCGGAAGCGGTCTCAGGAGTGCTCTGTCCCCTCCCCCAACCCTGTGCAGTGTGGCACTGGGCAGGGGTCATCTCGGGTGTGTTTTTTGTCCACCGTGGCCTGCTCTACGTCAGACTGGTGGTCATCTCGGGCTCTCAAAGTCCCAGGCGGGGGTAGTCTCCTGTCAGCCTCCCTCCCCACCTAGGCTGTGTGGCCCCAGGTCTCTTCTAATCTTGGGCTTGATTCTTGCCTGTCTCCATGGAGCCAGAATGGTGGTTTATAACATCTGTTTCCCAACATTTCTCTGTTTAGATTTTCTTTGGGACACCTGTCTGTGGGTGAGAGTGGGGAATGAAGGGCTCTCACTATCAGTGTGTGAGGGGCATTATGATTTCTTTCCAGCAATACTAGTGTTTATTTTACTACCTTGGGTGCCCTTGTATTCAGCACACAGATATTAAGAATCGTGATATCCTCTTGGATTTTTTTTCCTTTGATGGATATGTGATGCCATTTCCTATCTCTCCTGATTAGTTTTGGTTTGGTCTATTTTGTCAGGCATTAAGATGGCTACATTAACTTTTCTCCTGCCTGCTGGGGTCACAGCCAGCAGAACTCCTTAACCTCTCCTCTGGAGAAGGCCTGCCAGACCCAGGAACAGCCAAGCCTATGGGTCCCCAGGAACACCCAGCTACATAACCTTCCCTCCGAAGGAAGCCTGCTGGTCCCAGAATCATCCATGCCTTTAGGTTTCCAGAAACAGCCAGGTTAGGGACCCTCTCCCCCAGCTTTTCTTCTGCCTGCCTGAGATACAGCCAGCAGAGGAACAAACAGGCCCGCAGGTCCCAGGAGCTTCCAGGCCTGCAGGTCCCTAGGAACATCCAGCCAGCAGAAGCGAGCAGTCTGCTATTTCTTGAACTCGATGTCAGACCCAAGGCTCTGTCTCTCTCCCTGAGGACTCTTGTCAGCATCAGGAACAGCCAGCCAATACCAGAGACAACTAGATGGTTAAAGGCCAGTGTAAAAACACAATCAACAAGAGCCAGGGCAATATGGCATCACCACAATCCAGCTATTACAGGAAGCCCTGGGCACGTTGACACAACTGAAGCAAAAGAAGATGACCTGAAGTCCAACTTCATAAAGATGATAGAGGCCTTAAAAGAGAATATGAATAAATCCTTTAAAAACATACAAGAAAATTCCATCAAACAGGTGAAGGAAATGAATAAATCCCTTAATGAGGTACAGGAAGATACAATTAAACAAGTGAAGAAAATGAAAAAATAACCTGTTTATAAACTGAAAATGGAAATAGAAGCAATAAAGAAAACAAACTGAGGCAATCCTGAGGATGGAAAACCTAGGGAAGAGAACAGGAACTACAGACACAAGCATCACCAACAGAATACAAGAAATGGAAGAGAAAGTCTCAGGTGTAGAAGATACAATTGAAGAAATCTATACATCAATCAAAGGAAATGTTAAATCTAAAATGTTACTGACATGAAACATCCAAGAAATCTGGGACACTATGAAAAGACCAAACCTAAGAATAATAGGAATAGAAGGAGGAGAAGACTCCTAGCTCTAAGGCACAGAAAATATTTTCAACAAAATCATAGAAGAAAACTTCCCCAACCTAAAGAAAGAGATGACTATAAACATATAAGAAGCTCATAGAACACCAAATAGACTGGAACAGAAAAGAAAATCCTCCTGCCATGTAATAATCAAAACAATAAATGTACAGAACAAAGAAAGAATATTAAAAGCTGCAAGGGAAAAAGGCCAAGTCACATATAAAGGCAGACCTATTAGAATTACACATGACTTTTTAATAGAAACTCTAAAAGCCAGAAGGGCTTGGGCAGACACCTTATAGACACTAAGAGACCCCAGATGTCAGTCCTGACAACTATACCTAGGAAAACTTTTAATAACCATAGATGGAGAAAACAAGATATTCCATGACAACAAAATTAAACAATATCTATCAACAAATCCAGCCCTACAGAAGATACTAGAAGAAAAATTCTAACCCAGGGAGCTAACTACACTCAGGAAAACACAGGAAATAAATAACCCTACATAAGTAAATCAAAGAAGGTACGCCCACATACATCACATACATACACTCAATGACAACTAACATCAAAATAACAGAAATTAACATTGGTCATTCATATCTCTCAACATCAATGGGCTCAAGTCTCCAATAAAGAGATACAGGTTAATAGAATGTGTGTGAAAACAGGATCTATCATTCTGTTGCATACAAGAAATACACCTCAGCAGCAAAGATAAGCATTAGCTCAGAGGAAAGGGCTGGAAAATGGTTTTCCAAGCAAACGAACCCAAGAAACAAGCTGGAGTAGCCATTCTAGTATCTAATAAAACAGACTTTTAACTTTTAAATTAATCAAAAGAGGTAGGGAAGAACATTCACACTCATCAAAGGAAAAATCCATCAAGATGACTTCTAAATTCTGAACATCTATGACCTAAATGCAAGGGCACCCACATTCATAAAAGAAACATTACTAAAGCTTAAATCACACGTCGAATTCCACACTTTAATAGTAGGAGACTTCAACACCCCACTCTCACCAATGGACAGATCATTGAGACAGAAACTAAACAGAGAAATAATGAAACAACAGAAGTCATCAATCAAATGGACCTGACAGATATCTAACGAACATTTCACCCAAACACAAAGGAATATACGCTCTTTTCAGCACCTCATGGAACCTTCTCTCAAACTGACCATATACTTGGTCACAAAGCAAGTTTAAACAGATACAAGAAAATTAAAATAACCTCTTGTATTTTACCAGATTTCAACAACAAAAATAAGAGAAAACTTACAAAATCGTGGAAACTGAACAACTTTCTGCTCAATGACTGCTGGGCCTGGGAAGAAATAAAGAAAAATATTATAAGACTTTCTAGAATTCAATGAAAATGAGGGCACAACATAGTCAAACTTATGGGACACAGTGAAAGCAGTGCTAACGGGGAAAGCTTTCATAAAGAAATGGAGAGTTCTCATACTAGTAATTTAAAAGCAGTCCTAAAAGCTCTAAAACAAAAAGAAGCTAACATAACCAAGAGGAGTAGATGGCAGGAAATAGTTAAACTCAGGGCTGAAATCAACAAATTAGAAACAAAGAGAACAATACAAAGAATCAATGAACCCAAGAGCTGGCTCTTTGAGAAAATCAGCAAGATAGACAAACCCTTTGCCAAACTAACTAAAAGACAGAGGGACAGTATCCAAACTAACAAAATCAGAAATGAAAAGGGGGACATAACAAGAGACACAAGAGACCGAGGAAACTCAAAGAATCATTCGGTCCTACTTCAAAAGACTGTATTCCATAAAACTGGACAGACACATGATGGGTCTGGGTATCTTGGAGAGGACTGAGGACTTCATACTGCTACAGAGCATAGCTCTGCTTCTTGCCCTTATGGTGGCCACATCCCTCCTAATATATGAGCTGTATGAAAACCCCAAGGGGTCTTCTGGCCCCTCACTGGGCAGTATCATTGGCAGTCACAATAATAATGCTTGATTGATCTGTCTTTCAGGCATTGCCGCTGGAGCAGATTAATGGTTTAACCAGCACCCCTGAAAAAAAAAAAAAAAACCTAGAGATATAGATTGCTAATGACCACTACCCTTAAAAAGAATTTGGGAAAACACTGGTTAGCAAGGTTAGGTAAAGATGCTTTTGCTAGTGACTCTGATGTAGAAAACCTTAGGGAACAATCTGAAGTTCAGAAAAGTACACTCTTACTAGTAAAGCCAGAGTTTTTTTTTTTTTGTTTTTTTTTTTTAAGGTTGGTTAGCAAAGACAATAGCCCAAGGTACCATTGGCTGATGTGACACTCTCAAGCTGGGCTGGTGACTGAGATGACAATTTCCTTATGCTTGTTTTTGCCCTCAGCTCCCTGATATAATTTAATAAAAATTATTAATAAGTAGATGTGCACCTCAGAGATTTACAGTAGAAATGGTTAATTGATTTTTTTTTTCTTTGTCACTGCAAACTGTAGCCTGCCAGTAAGGAAAATCTGGCTGAATAATTACCTTGCTTGCTCACCGTGTTGATTTACAAACAAGTTGCTTAGGTACAAATATATTTGAGTTCTTGGAAATAACTTGTTTTTAACATTTGCTTTTTACCCTAAATTAATGTGAAGGTATTGGGGAACATGTTTTTCTTACGTATACTCATTTAATTGTTTACTTTAAGAAAAAATAGAATGCAACCACATTGTGATTTTTTTTGTACTGCTTGAAAGAATTTGCTGGAGATATATATATATA